GCGAGGGGCGGGGTACACCCTGGACAGGTCTCCAGTCCATCACAGGGCCACACATAGAGACAAACGAGACAAACAAGCATTCACTCTCTCACTCACACCTAGGGACAATTTAGAGTTATCAATTAACCTAACAGTCATGTTTTTGGTCTGTGGGAGGAAGCCGGAGCCACCGTGGCGGCACGGTGGCTCAGTTGGTAGAGCTGATGCCTCTCAGCAAGAAGGTTACCGGTTCAAATCCCAGTCCGGGGACCTTTCTGGGTAGAGGTTCCATGTTCTCTCTGTGCGTGGGTTCTCTCCGGGTGCTCCGGCTTCCTCCCACAGACCAAAAACATGACTGTTAGGTTAATTGATAACTCTAAATTGTCCCTAGGTGTGAGTGAGAGAGTGAATGCTTGTTTGTCTCGTTTGTCTCTATGTGTGGCCCTGTGATGGACTGGAGACCTGTCCAGGGTGTACCCTGCCCCTCGCACTGTGACTGCTGGAAATGGGCACCAGTGACCCACGCGACCCTGAAAAGGAAGAAGCGTGTACAGAAAATGGATGGATGGATATATATATATACATATATATACTGTATGTTAAGCTGCTGTTGCTGATCGTCAAATAAATTCTGCAGGAGTTCTTTTCAAACATGTATCTCCTTAATGAGCCTCTTCATCATGTTCTAAACTGCAATTTCATTCTGCATTGCATCTTTGTGTGTGCATGAAAATAAATGATTCTGATTCTGATCACATGCTCATCCTCTTGTCTCTTTAAGACCCTTGTTCTGGAAGGCAAATAAACAAAGTTACAAGCTTCTTTTCAATTAACAGGTCAGATAACAAAGATTTGTTTTTACAGACAAGGCCGCAGTGAAATTTGTCTTTAAAACGCAGGAACTTATCAGCAATCTGATAAGTTCTGCAGAAGAGTGAACTGTAAAACGGGCCTTTATAGACAGTTTGATTGTTAAAATGTGACATTTATAGCAGGGCAGCACTGGGTTTAGAGCCCCAGAGGTGCTGGGCCCATGGTTAGGTTTTAACTGTGTGGTATAATTTACCGCATTTAAGGAAAAAGGAAAGCAGCTAAAGAAAACGAACTGCAAAGCAAGATTATCCTCATAAACATGGTGTTAAGTTTGCATTATCTGAAATAAAGGAATGCTTGGCAGAGCCCCTGAGAGATCTTTAACTCAAAACTGTGGGAGAGTCAGGAATCAAGCGGGTCGTGTTCGGGGCTTTCAGGATCTGTGGTGAGAAGGTCATCAGTGTCCATCACAGCAGAAACTGAATGACTCTCTTGATGGACACCAGTTCCACCAAATGATAAAGGAGAGGTTKAGAGTTACTGTCCAGAAGCCAGGATGCTAAAACTCGTGCGTGGAAGGACTTCAGAGAGTCTATAGAAGGACTTGTGGTTGGACTTGAGGAAGCTCTGGCAAAGCACTCAGTAAGAGGCATCGTTCCATCCATCGAGCCTCCAGTGGAAAGTTTATTYCTGGGTGTTGGAAGGGAGGCTCCGCCCAAATTATGAAACCTCAGAGTCAGGATAAGGAGTGTGCCTTTCATCCTGGTCATGGTGAACAAGATCTTGCGGTTTGTTAAGGGCATCTTGGGAGTTTGCCACCCCAGCCTACAGGTGTTTTGTGGTCCAGGAGAAGGGTTATGACCATAAAGTGATGGTGACGCTGCAACCAAAGTTGGTCCATGTACCGGTGTTGTCACATGACAGGAGGTCTTCATTAGCTGTCAGTGTTAGCTTCCGCTAAATCTTTACTTGTTTAGCATTAAAAAAGCTATATTTTTAGTCAGCGGATYATGAGTTAGTGCAGTTAACTTTGTGTTAGCTATGCCCACCACTGCCTGTCAGTAAAATCTCTTGTGTTTTCATCCTTCTCTAACATGGAAATTTATAAACTTCTTCATACACGAATGAAAAGCTGCATGTTCCCAACTGTTTTCTCATTAAGGAGAATGAATGAGTTTTGCTGGTCTCCTCTCCTCTCCTCCACACGGACAGCTTCATCTGAAATCCAGGTWAAGATTTATCTTCATTTTATCAGTCGGATAAACTTGGTGTGCTCTGTGTGACCCAGAGGTAAACGGCAGGGTTATTAATGACGTCAGACAAACACAGAAACTACAAAATGAATCGTATAACTTTGGACCTTTTATCACTGCATGGATTGTTGTGTTTAAAAAAAACACTTCACATGTTGACATTGTTCCAGAAAACTGGGCATGACAAATGTCCTTGTGGCCCATGGTCTTATTCAAATCAAAACAATAAAATCAACCAATCTCCTGATCTCCTATCTTTATTTTGTGTTTTCAGATGCATAAGGACACATAAAAAAACCAAGTCGGTTTATCTGTAAAGCACATTTAAAAATCAACAGGTTGAATCAAAGTTCTGTACAATAAGAATTCAGTAAAAGRCAAAGGATGTAAAGTAAAAAAAACTGATTATCAGCAGAAAATACTGGAAATATCCACAGAGCAGTGAGGTCATGTAGAAAGGTTATAAACACTTAATATCTTACCTGCTGTAGAAAGCTTTTTGAACAAACATTGTTTGGAATAAAACTGTAATTATTGTTTGCTGCTTTTTCCTGAGACTTAATGTATGCACTTCTGTGACTATCTGTCTCTCTCTCTCTCACACACACACACACACACACACACACACACACACA